CGGCGGGACACAGGCACGGCTGTCGCTGGCGTGCTCCCAGGGAGGAACGCGAAGGAATTAGCCAGATAAGAATGCTTAATTCCTGGAGCTCCCAGAGCCGGCTCCTGCTGTCGGAGCACGCCTGCTGATGGGAGAGGGACAGACCAGCACCTGCCAGCTCCCAGCTACTGAGCTCCACCGACAAGATGCTACGGACTCTTGCCTGGGATTCTGCAATTAAGGGCCAGCTCCGAGCACACAAGTGAGGATACCCCTCCCCCTCCCAGCATGACACAACTCTAGAAATTTGCTCGTGGGCTAAACCGAACAATATCCTTGTCCAACCAGTGGTGCCAGGATATAAGCCAGAATCCTCATTAGCGAAGGCTCCGTTCCAGCTCCTGCTGACACTAAAAAAAAATGCTGAACCTCCGTGTTTGCAATGCAGCAGCTACTTCTGTTAGGCACACTGAGGTTCATATACGCTTTAAGGCAAGAGGAAAACAGATATGCTACCCAATCTGCACTTCTTCAGTGTGCAAGCCACTTCATTTTGTTTGGGAATTTCTGCTTAGGAAGAACAGACTAAATTCTTCCTACCTTACCCACTGAACCGATGCCAGCAGTATCTGGCCCAACCCACAGCCCTTTGATTTTTTTTGTTATAAAAGTAACTCTGAGTACTGTCTCCCTACAAATCCCAGTGGCAAGAACGCATTTTAACTGACGTGGAGGAAGTGGCAGAAGGTACATCAAGTAAGCCACCGAGCGGACAACAAACCTCAGGACCACTGATAATGTCCCTCTCCTCTCTAGCCCAGATTCGGCCCCCTCGACAGAGCTCCTGCTATTCTGCTGTCTTACAGAGCACAGCCTCTGCTTTCCTTTGCCACATTCGCATAAAAAGCTGTGCTGTATTTTCCCCCTTTAGTATTAAAATTTTATTTATCCTTTTTTTTTAAAAGTGGCATGTGGCAGAACAACAGCCTCCCATGAGCTCAGGTGGAAAAGCAGCCCAACTCACTGTACTTCACAGTCCTAGAGCAGCATCTTTGTTTATTTACTGCCTCAGTTTCAAAAATCACCTTGACAGCAGTGAAGACACGACGATATTCTGACCAGGGAGAAAGCACAACGTCTCACAGCGCACCACCCAAAGTACGAGCAACGCGAGCTGCCCCACGGTCAGGAGCTTCGGTCTCTTACCATTTCCATTATGAGGTGTCCACAAACGAAGCACTTGTCCGCTGTTTGCTGAAAACCTGAATACTGTTCAAATGACAGAAAAGAAAGGACTATTAGTGGCCACTCCTCTAGTTGCAGAAGTACCTTTTCAGTGAATGCTGCGCTGGTTTCCAGCCTGTGCTGCGTATTATAACAAACCATACAGTAGGTTTGGGAGACATGGACTCGGAAGCCTTCGCTCTGCTCTTGCAGCACGCTCAGCTACCAGCTCGGCCTTCTGACCCACTGCAAGAGCTCCACTGAGATTTCCAATGTCACAGTATTATGCTAAGTTTGATTTTTACTTTTGAAACCTAGTTGGCGAGTTTGCGTTTGATGGGCTGGAATTGGCTTGAATTCACTCCTTCAGTTGTTGTTGTTGGGGAATTAAATAGCATAGGACTTACCTCCCGACTCCTGCTCAGAGTAGCAACCAGATGCTTGCTGGCCTCAGAGTTTGGACCTACGTTTCACTCCATGCTATGTGCAGGCTACAAAACCAAAGATGGGCCCGAGGAGGCTTTAGCTGCCTTGTGGATGCCAAGCTTTCTGTCTAGGGAAGAACCCAAGAGTCCCGCTGTAGGAGCTCGGGCTCT